CATGACCTGAGCCGAAGTTGGATGCTTAACTGACTGAGCCACCTTGGTGCTCCTATTAACAAGACTTTTCAAACAAAAATCCAAACAGTACATGGAATATAAAATGAAAAGAGAACACCCCACCCCACCCCCAAAGAAAGGAAAGCAATTAACAAACAGCTAGAGTATGAATTTCCCTAGCATGTCAGCCCCAACAGGGCAGGAATTCCAGTCTGTCCTGTTCACTGCTGCTGAGTCAGCCAGTCCTGGGCATTACAGTGGGTGTTCAATGCCCGTTCAATCAAACTTTACCTTCCTTGGATTATGCCCATTTTCATTTTTAAAAAAAATGTTTTTAATGTTTATTTTTGAGAGAGAGAGCACAAGGAGGGGAGGGGCAGAGAGGGAGGGAGACACAGAATCCGAAGCAGGCTCCGGACTCTGAGCCATCAGTACAGAACCTGATGCAGGGCTCCAACTCACAAACAGTGCGATCATGTCAGACGCTTACCCGACTGAGCCACCCAGGCGCCCCTGATCATGCCCATTTTCAAAGCACACTTTTTTACGTGAGCCTGGACCATTTGGTTAAGATGATGTCTGTCAGGTGTCTTCTCGGTAAGGTTCCTGTCTTTTGCTTTGCCACACTTTATTCTTTGAAGGAAAGTCACTACCTCTTCTGAGTACAACCCACATGGAAAAGGAGGCGGGAAGGGTTGAGTTCTAGCTGCGGGACCGAGCATTTCAACTTACCCTATTTGGAATTAATCTTTAAGGGAAGATTTGACTTTACCGCCCTCACGCCCATTTTATTTATTTTGAAAAAGAGAGCGGGGGAGGGGGGCAGAGAGAGAGAGAGGGAGAGGGAGAGAGAGGGCATCTTAAGCAGGCCCCCCACGCTCAGCGTGGAGCCCAAGCGGGGCTCCACGGAAGGACCCTGGGATCCTGACCTGGGCGGAAATCAAGAGCGGGATGCTTAACCCAGTGAGCCACCCCGGGGCCCCTGCCCTCCTCGCGCCCATTTTAAAGACCAGGAAGCTGAGGCTGAAGACGACAAACTTCCTCACTAGAGGGTGGCCCAGCCCAGGGTGAGGCCCGACCCAGTGATCGAGGGCCGTGGG